CTGTATGTGGGATCCGAACCCTCGGCGGGAGTGCCGCCGCGCTTCCCAAGCGGCACACTGTAGCAGCGCGCCACCGGGCCGGCCCTTTTTTAGCTTTTAAAACTATAAAAAGAGAGAGAGAGAGAGAGAGAGAGAGAGAGAGAGAGAGAGAGAGAGAGAGAGAGTGTGTGTGTGTGTGTGTGTGTGTGTGAGTGTGTGTGTGTGTAGTTTTTTGGATTTTCCTTAAAGAAATTGTCACTTTATATTGATTGAGATTACATACAAACCCTTGGAATTTTTCCACAGTTCATCTTAGAGCAATGTTTTATCCTATGTATTTATCATTCTCCAGAAACTGGAGTTTGAAAGAAAAATCATAGCACCATGTGTTTCCCAAGATGGTCAGACATACGCAGTGGGGAAGATTGCTCATGAAAGATGACGTAACAGCATAATCAGGGCCTCCTTGCTGGTCTTAATTCAGGAATGTTTATGTTTATCATTTGGGGGTTGTGATGGCAACAGAAGGGCGTTAACGCCAAGATTATTTTCAAAATAAGATTTGACTGTGCCATGTAATCATGAGAAGGGGTGTTGATGCAGGAAGACTAATTTTCCCATGTGGCTGCTGTAGTTGGTCTTACCACACTTTGAAGTCCTCTCCCACCACTGAGTGTTATGTAGTCTTCCTCAGCCCCAGGGAGCTGCTCTATCATGGTAAGTACCAAGAGAATAGCTTTACAAAGGCACTTCAAGTGTACTTTGTCCCATGGTATGGGCCTTGGAGATAGAATTATAGTGAAACCAGTGGTATGGCTTCTACAAAGGGGCTAACAAATCAGAGACTGGCAATACCAGAAACCTAGTGGTCTTCAAAATTTGATGTGCTTCATCATTGTTTGTGGTGCTTTTAAAAAATAGGTGCCTTCAATACCCCATCTCCCTGTCACATAACTCCCCCACCCCCAACACACACCCACCCACACACATACACATACACCCACCATACACCGTACACACAGGACAGTTGGGATTCAGTATGTCTGGTGTGAACATTTGTATTTTTGTCAAGTGCACCATTTGATTCTGTTGTGTTCCAAAGGTTGACAACCCATGCATAACCTATGTAAGGTCAGGTTCTTTGATGTTTCTGGTTTTGATTTTCTTTTATATAAAATCATAAGGATGGCAGTGTCCTCCTGGGGCACTCACAATCTAGCCTTGATCTTTTCTGGCATTCTCTGGATTATAGTTTGTAAATTCAGATAAGTACCTGGGACGTGGGCGTTGTGTGTGAGTGACTGCATTATGGAATTAGTGACATGTGACTTTTACTATTGCTGTTGTTCTCTTGCTTGTAGAAATGTGGGAGACCTTTAGCTTATTTTACAAGTCTCAGTGCCATAGCACTTTCTGGTGCTCAAGTTCTCTTCCCTTTCATGGTCAGTGAATGACTCCAGGAGTTATATAGTTTCAGAATTACAGAATTTTTGGCCTGTTTCTTGTACAATTGAATATCTGTTTTGTTTTTTTTTTTAATTATAAGGTTAATTGTTTACTGTGTCATAGAGTGATATTGGTAAACCACCCATAGCTATTTCTGTTAAATGAGAGAAAAACACCTCATAGACTGTTGGCTTGAGTCTAGTAAAACATGCTGCTCTGAAAGTTTAGTCAGGTTGTTTTACCTTAGAAAAGGAGGTGAGGGGGTTGGAAATTTGAATACTAAATAAGATACTATAGCTTATATCTCTGATTATTATTTTAAATGTGTGTTAGAGGTCATAATTGATGCCTTGCTAGGTGTCTTAGGAAAAAGTGTTTCAACTATTGTTTCTCTCCAGGTGAAAAGGAAGGGGAAAAAGGTATCTGATAGGGATTTCTTTTTTCTGATGAGATGATTTATCATGTTGGTTTCACCTCGATCACTTCATTGATTATGCAGAGGTGGTGGCATCTGATGTGGTTCTGTGTGAATGCTGTCATGTAAGGTTGAATTTGAAGGCCTCATTTCTTTCCTCACTTGTCACCTTTTTTCTTCCCTGTCATTCCATTCAATCCTGTGTAATTAAGGATGATTAGGTGTTAAGATTGAGTGGAACTAGATAAGCTAATGACTAATTCCTCACAGCCAAACTTTGAACTGAACAGATGCACTAGATGCGAGGAATATAAAAGTACCCTGTAGTGCAAAATGTAATTATACAAGATGGGAAGGTTGGGACAGTGCAGAGCAGACATAATGGCACATCCCAAAGTACCTGGCTTTTGGAAACGTGCATATATTTTTAAACCATGTTAAGAAGAAAAATTAACTATCAGAATACATACATATGAGACACGTGAGCCTGACTGCACAAAACAGCTTTAGTTTTACCTGAGACCCTCCATGGACGTACTGGGGTTAGTAAACACCTCCAGGTACAAACAAACACCTCCATGTACAATAATGCTTGCTGCCTTTTTTGGGGGGAAATATCTCTTGGACTAGCTTCTGGAGGACAAACGCAGCCTTTGTCTAGAGAATTTTAAGGCTTTGCCATTCATTTCTTGAGGAATATGCTGAAAATTAGGATTAAAAAAAATTTTTTTTAACGCAATTTACTGGCACAGAGATGGTACTTACTAAGTACTCATTGACAGATTCCTCTAGGGGGTATTTATGAAAACATTACATTTTAAGGACTCAAATCACTTCCTTTTCTTTGATTTCATCACTTAGACGAATACCTTGCATTACTTTTCCTTTTAAGACAAATAGGTTGAAAGATTTAGATTGTTATTATTTTTAACCTGGCTAACTTTAGGAAAAAAAATCTCAAGCAAAATCTAAAACCTTCTTTGTTAATGTAATTGGTCAGTTGTGCATTAAGTGTTGTGTTCCTCCATTATATTTTTGTGCAGATTAAGAACAGGAGGTAAACGCATGAGGATATTTCGATGCAGTGATAATCTAAAAGGACTTCATTTTAAATGAATATTTTTGAGATCCAAGATAATGGCTTTTTTTCTTTTTTTAAAAAAGTGATTGACATTGGTTTTTCTTTGAAATGTGTCCATAATGAAGCTGTTGTCCCTTTGGTGACCTGTCCCTTTTTTCTGGTTGATTAATGTTTATAGGACTAGCTGTGTGACCTCATTCTCAACGTTTTTGGTATAAGTTTTGGATATCTCCAGCTGTTAATTATAGGAATGAGTCTTTGCCTAGCACGAAACCTAACAGTAATCATTTTATTACCCTGTTACCTTAATGTAACCTTTTCCAAGTATCCTATCATCTTAGAAAGCCTGAAACTTTTCTATAATCATTTGATTTTTCTCTTGCTCCCAGGCAAAACATTCAACATTTCATTTAAACATCTTTTAAGGTTTCTTGTTTTTAAAGCATGTTAAGACAAAAAAGGTAACTATCAGATTGCACTTGGGTACTCACAGAAGGAGGTATTCATGCTTACACTGGATAGGAGGGGTTTGACAAACTTTGTTAGATCACGTCTTAAGACAAAATCTTGGTAAAAGAAGTCATGTACAAATGTGAGGACTCAGTCTATGTCACATAGGGGGTCTATTTGAATCTGCCAGTTTGACCCTTAGAAACACTTGCTTCAGTTCCCGGATGTTTCTGACAACCTTTCCACCTTCTACCCAACCTGTTCTTTGAGTCTTCAACTAAGAGTATTACTTTAAGAAAGTGCTTCTTGAAAAGCTGATATTGTATTAGTTTATATTGTATACTATTGTATATTGTATTCTTATACATCTCTGTAACTACCTTAGTTAAAGTTAAAAGGGGAAGGAATTGGACTCATTATTAAGAAGTGTCCAATGTTTCTTGCAGATGGTCGTGGAAACTGAGAAGTGCAGCATCTCCATGAAGATGGCGTCGCCCGAGGACGTGAGTGAAGTGCTGGCTCACATCGGCACCTGCCTGCGGAAGATATTTCCTGGCCTCTCTCCAGTGTGAGTTCCCCAGGGAAGGGTGAGGAGAGCATGGAGCTTGTTCTTCTGCAAAATGGCAAATGCGAAAACGCCTTCTTTCTGCTCCTTTGCTTACTTCCTTTCTTGGAGTTTCTTCTCTTAAGCATTGAATATCAAAGTCCTAACCCAAACCCTCGTGTTTCGTGTCCAAGGTTTTCTATATCTCTGTGCCTTATTCTTTAAAGAGCCTGTGTGATGAAGGGATTTGGCAATCCTTTATCTTCTGCTCACAAGACTAAGGCAGAAACCTTTTTAATATAACTTCAGATTTACCCTACTGTGAACTTTACTTACAGCTATTAGCAAATTGCCAGGGGCCGAATGCTTTATACAAAGGCGTTATATAGAGTATTAATGAAGTGAGAGAGAGTGGTCTTTATTTTTTTTTGTTAGAGAAAAATCTAAAAAAACTAAACTAATCTAAAAATTAGCCTCTTTCATTTTCCTCCTAGTTTTCTGAAATACACATTAGGAGTATTAGTAAATTTTGTTCATGCATGCCCTTATATTTTTTTATTAAGTGTTGTTAGTCAGGATTATGTGCTCGAATATCAGTTTGTATTTGGGGAGTGCATGAGTTGTGGGAATGAGGGAATTAGCTTGTCTGAGGTGAAAAGGCAGAGAGATGATTATGTTAGAAATCTCCCTAAAATAATAGTTTGTAGTCAGAATACCTTCCTCATGATACACAGATTGCAGAAAATCTCCCTTTTGTTGCTCTCCCTGACGGCTGAAGTGTATCCTGGGGAGGTCGGGAGGCCTCATGTAGACACATGTAGGATGGCTCGCTGTGGACCTTGCTTGCTGGGGTGGGAGGGGAATTTTGGGGGCTATTGCCCTTCTTGGAACATGTCCCTACAATGTCCACCTGCAAATTAAGAGCAAGAAAACCTAGCCTTTCAGTCTTTTAAACCTTTTGGGTGCTAGAACTGGCTCAATGGGGTTAGGACCTTCCTTTCTCTTTGGCCATAGGAGACCTGCTTGGTTCTCTATACAGCTCTTCACTGGGTTCTCTCTTTTCTGCATTTCATGGAGGGTAAACAGACCACAATGGAGGGGCTAGCCCTGTGTTTGTTGGTTCACCTGGGCTTCCTCCCTTCTGAAGCTTGAGCCTCCCTTTCCTCCTCTGAGCATCAGGGCAGCTGGTTGCTGAGGGAGCTAAGCATACCTGGCCTCATGTCAGAGGAGTGGAGGGGTGAGTGGGGGCTGCACTCTGACTGGAATTACAGGTATCGTGAAGGCAAGGCCCTGCTGGCCTCCAGTCACACACACTCGAGTGTGTGGAGGAGAGATGTGGACCAGGAGCAGGTGGTCGGAGGAGGTGGGGAATGAATCAGTAGTCGTAGTGGAGAAATACCCAGAAGTAAAACTGTCTTAGGAAGGGTTTCCACATCATCCTGAAAGCCACCAGAGAACTACCTGGGGTAATCCTGAATTAGCAATAACCGCAACTCATTTTCTTTAAACCGTATTTTAGTAATGTGACTTTGTACATACGTTTCCTTATAAAGTCCTCTCTTTCATTACAAATTAGCACCGATGAAATAAGAAAATTATTAAGCACAGGCTTATTTAGCAAGAGCTTATAATACCGTGAACATTAAAGACACTTCAGAGCAATATTTAGAATCTCTATTTTCTTTAAAATGCAGCTTTATGGGTTTAATATTCTAGGAATTTGGGGGAAATTACCAGTTTTACTTTTGGTTTGGATACTTCCACTTTTTTTCTCCAGAGAACATTGAGTGAGAATAGTGTTTCTACCTATATTTTGTAGTTAACTTTTTGTTAAAATCTTCAGGCAACTGATATTAAACAACAAATAATAAATAACCCTCTCTGTTTCTAGAGAGGCAGTTAGTTACTGCATATATGTTGGTTTCTAAACCCATGGCCTCCACCTCACCCTGATCTTCATCTCCACCTCCCATCTCTGCACAGGTGTCCCCAAGCACCTCAAGTCAGTGTGCCCCAATCTGAACTCCTCACCTTTCCCCCTAAAACCTGCCTGTATTCTGTATTCTATCTCAGTTAATGGCTTTGTTATTCACATAGTCTCATAGGTTAAGAGCTGAGCCATGCTGATCTCTTGGTCCTTACTCTCACATTTAATTAGTTGCTAAGCTCTGTTTGTACTTGCTTATTATCTCTTGGTCTGGACCTTTCTCTTTCTTTTCATGTCCCCTGCCTTTGTTCAGACCGTCTCGTGTCCTCCTGTGCAGCATCTTTCCAGCTAGTCTCTGTGCCTCTGGTTCTTCCCTTTGCAAGCGATCCTTCAGACTGTCACCAGACTACCTTCTATAATTCAAATGGTGTCTGTTCCTCACACAAGCTCACTAATGGATAACCTTCCTGATAAAGTCTCAGTTGTGTAGCTTGGCATAGAAGACCATTGCTTTCCAGCCCCATAGTCCAGCTTATTCTTGAACACAACCAGGCTCTTTCATATTTTCAGCACCTTTATATGGGCTCCTAATCCTGACAAGTTCCTACTGCAAAAGACATAGCTCAGATATCCTCTCATCTGTAAAGAGTTTGTTTATTCATGTTTCTGAAGAAATTTGCGATCACTTCCTATACTAGCACATATCACATTGTGTTATGTTTACTTATATATTATACATTTAATGAGGGTTTTTTTTTGAGTTTCTAGTATGTGCTTGGCAGGGTGCTAAGTGTCAGGATCCCTGTGAACATGGTCCCTGCCCACATGGAACTTATTCTTCCACTCAGGGAAACAAACCCCCAAAGAGGGAAATATGTAAATGAAGTACCTGTAAATTTGAATAAGTGCTTTGAGGGAAGTCAGTGGGACTAACATAAAGAGTAAATTTCTGTCTTCAGTGACCTCCCTGTGGTTATGATGACTTGAACAGACCTAGTGGGAGAGAAGGAGCCTGTCATATGAAAAGGAGGCAAAGAACATTTCCTTCCAGGGCCTTTGCCGTGCTGTTTCTTCTGCCTACGAAAGAGTTGGTGTCTTTGAGGTTCTGAAGATAACCAGTTTGGCTGGAGTGTAATGAAGCACAGACATGGGAGGGGAGAGAGTGGTGCAGGATGAGGCTGGAAGCAGGCTCTGGCCGGCTGAGGTGTAGCCCCATTGCCAAGAGTTTGGAATTTGGTAGTATATCACTGGGAAGTTACTGTAAGCAGGCCAGGGGTATGACATGAATTCTAATATGATGGTACTTCAGAAAGTTTGTGGAAAAATAGAAATAAGAAAACCAATATAAATCTTCCCATGAACTTTTTGAAGGCCCTTTTATATTTTAAATCATTTTTGCTGCTAGAGAGAATGGGCCGGCTGGGGCAAGAGGAGAAGTAGAAAGCTAATTTGGACTCTTGTAGTAATGTAGGCAAGAAATGACTGTGGCCAGGAGTAGGAGTAGCATGAGAGAGTGAGATAAGAGGGGATCGGTGTAAGATTTATTTTGGATGCAGGACTTACTGATGGATTAGGTAGGTGTGAGTAAAGGCAGTGAGGAAAAAGAAGAACCAGGGATTCTGGTTTAATAATTTGGTGACAAATGGCTACCTTTCCATGAGATGGAGAAGTCCTAGGGCATGTGTGGGGGCAAGTTTATTTTGGGAAACCCTCCCCAGCCATTTTGTTTTAGGCAGGTAAGATTTAAGATCTAGAACGTCTAGGTGGGGTTATCAGGTAGGCAGTTAGATCTATGAGGATGGAGATTGGAGGAGAGGTCTGGAGATGGACGTAAGGTGAGAGTCATGAGCGTCAAGATGATCTTTAATGCATGGCTGTTGATGAGGTCACCTAGAAAGAGATGTGGAGCTAGAAGAGAAGACGTCTTGGGAATGAACCCAACA